AACCGAACGGAAATCGGAATTTAATTTATTTTAAATCGGAGTTTACGTACATTTCAAATATACCCGGGACGCAATTTACGTACGTTTTAAAAGTACACGGGCCGCAATTTACACAGTATATGACTATGACCTTTTTTTGGGGACGCAATTTACCGACTCCGCTCGCGTTACAACCAGAAATTCGTAATCTTCATATCGTACAACCCCACCACCACCCCCTTACCCCCTCCCCCCCGGTAAAAACTATTAGGGACACTGCGAATGCATTTCGTCTTGACGAACGTATCGAATTCGCGTTTATCAATACCGACAATTGTATAACGTTAGTTTCACTATGTTGTTAGATTGAATTGCCCGTATTTATTAAACTCCCAAGGGAAGTATCTGTTGTGTACGTTGATATAACCGTTTTTAAATCGCGATTCTCACACGCTCGTATCTCGTTTGAAAAACAAAACAACGAAACCACCGTACAAATACAGACAACGTTCTTCCCCTTGAAGTTTAGTTGATAACAGGCCAATTCGCATTTCGCTTCAATACTAAAACTAATAAAGCAAAATCGCAGGTTCCCCTGAACGCGAATCCGTTATGCCCCCAGCGGTTTCGTATAATATATCGATAAACTTTTTCTAGTATACCTATATTTTTATTGTTCTGCAAAAAGTATAATATCGCATTCCGAGAAAATCAAACAAAACGTTAAACGCAATAACCTATATGCTCGGAATCTAGAACCCTACGTGCGTTTTGTGTACGCTGTATTTGTTTATAACGTACATATCGTTTTACGTTTTGTTTATATTACGTTGACCGTTGAAAAAAAAAAAAATAAATAAACTATGTTTAAAATCCGTGTACGATCATTGATTTTTAGAAAACTTTCAATCTGTCAATACTATTATGAAGGAGATTAAATTTCAAAAAAACTCTCGAGTGGAAAAAAAAAAGCAAAACAATAATATCGAATTGTTGTTGTTGGGTATGGTACGCGAGAATGAAAAATCACGGTAATTTCGGATTTTGTCTATACAGTGCCGCGCGACAATTTATTATTTTTAAGTGGTATAAGACTAAATAATGTATACGCTATTACCCTGCCGCGGCAGTTACTCACCCACCCTCCCAAACGTGCACGACCACTTAAAAATATTAAATCTCCGTAAAACGCCCCTCCGCGGTACAATGTGTTACGTTGCTTTTAAAATTGCCGTACAACAACGTATGTTTTTTTTTTGAAAAACGAAATTTATTTTTTTAAAATATTTCGTTTTTCGGAGTTTACGGACAGCTTGATTGTGAGATAGCGGAGACTGTCGAATAATTTCACACGGGTAAAGGATTTTCCGCAACACGTGCAATTGGAAAGCGTATGAGCTTTTTGTACTATAGCCGCTGCCAGTATAATGATATTATATATATATATATATGTTTTTGGTTTCTCGTCGAACCGGAACAAACAGCGGACTGATGATGGCCGATGACGACCAAAAAAATATAATGCCCACGTACAAGGGAAATGCGGCGTCACAAAGTTGCGCGTCCTTTTCGAGTCGTCTAACCGACCGGAAAATCATCGATGCCCCCGGACCTGTTTATTATTATTATTATTTGTAAGTGCTTTCTCCCCCCCCCCCGTGCACCGTACTTTTTAGGTTCCATTAACCGACCGGTTAACCGTATTTATTGTCAAAGAGATTCCAAATTATCGTTTATAATCAATATCATGCATACGGTGCATCATGCACGATGATAACAATGAAATTGTTTCAAACGATTTTTTTTTTTTTTTTTTTTTTTTAACTTCACCTTTTTTTTTTTGTAATGTAAAATAATGACAGTTACTTGTACAGCAAAATGGATTCAAAAAAAAAAAAAAATCATCATTGTAATAATTATTATTTTAATGTTGATTGGCGGTTTTCACTGTAAAACAAATTCAATACGCAGAAAATATAATATCTAATCTTTGTGAAACATCCTGTATATTGAATTAAAAAGTTTGCTATAAATAGTTTTAATTTTATCAGTATCGCCTTTTTTTATTTTAAAAATCTAAAAGCGTATAGCTCAAGCATTATCTTACCTATATTAGCCATTTTAAAATACATTTTCTTTTTTTTAATTTTGAGTACCATGGGAATTTATTTATTTATTTTTCTTTGATATGTAAACCGACTTTTCTACTAGACGTTTTTCTGGAATCATTAAAAAGACAAGGGCTTTTTTTGTAAAATTTTGTCAGGGCGTTAGGCATGTTTCGCTTAAAAAAAAACTGAAGCGAAAGAGGCATTTAAGGTTTTTGAACAAATAAAAAACATTATACAAAAACCAATACATTACTCTCTTCGCTCAAATCGTAATTTGATGTAGTTTATATAATAATATTATGAGCTCGAAATCGCACACGGATTTGGCGTGAAGCGACGACGACGTCACATTATGATACAAAAAAAAAAAAAAAAATCGTCATTATCTAATCGAAACCGGATTTTTTTTGTTCAGATATATAATGTTCTCAGCTTCGCATATCCCCGAGCCCCGCACACCCGATGATAGGCGGAGTCACGTACAGTTTTTTTGGCAACAACAACGATAATAATAAAACAAAAAGGACGGACATACTTCGCGCGTGGGTGCAGCCACCGTTGTAGGTAGCAAGTTGGAAAGGTGGGCTACGGACGGGAATTTAATGTATATCTGTAAGCAACGAGAAAACGATTCTGAGCCGAATTCAGTTGATAATGTTGCTTTGTCAACAATACAGTACATGGTATAATGTCATATTATGGTAAAATGATTAATATAATGTGCGTTTCTACGACAACAATGATTGTTTAAAAAAAAATTAAAATGATAAAAATGTAATAATAACGAAAAATAAATAGAAACGGTTGCCAATGACAACCTTATTTTTAATCTTTCTTTTTTAATCTAAAGATCGAAGTTTCCCTCGTTATATCGAATATTAATCAGAATATCAAAAAAAAAAAAACGACCTGTCTAAAGTACCGTCCGGAGAAAATTTCCTTTCAGATACTTGATAACCGGAGTATGCTTTCTGGTGGAAAAAGAGTTCGCATAAAATAATAATAATAATAACGATAAACATCATTGTAAAACCAACCAATACATTCCTCGGTCCGCTCAGAATCGAAAACGGAATGAAAAAAAAAACCATACAAATCAATAATAATAATAATAATAATAATAACAAAAACAATACAGAAGCGCGCGTATCGCGTACAATTTGTTTTTAGTTGAAAATTCATCGGCACGTCGATACGAAACGGTCATTCGGAGAATATCCACCGACAACCACGACAGTCGTAAAAATAGCTCGGCTGTCGGCACTTCTCTGAATTACGCGATGCAAATACTAATGCAATAACTGTTCGCGTACGTTTACGTTTGTCGTAACTAGCAAATGGGTACACGATAAACACGCGGTAGACTGTATTACAGCGCGATACGTGCGTTTACACCGTGCGGACGTTTTAGATTCTGAGCGCAGTTAGGATGACGTTGTAATGGTTTAGCCGTGACGATTTGACAACGTACAGTATTATAATGCACTGCGATTACGTGTGTAAAAAAAACCCCAATAATAAAATAAACGATTTTCATTTGTAAATAGCTGACGGGGGGGAGATGGGCACCTTTGGAGTTCTCGGAGTAATTGATGTCCCGGCGCCTGTTTTTAACGCCGTTGGCTAGCGCGTGAAATTATGTTGACGATATCGTATTTGAACCGAGAATGATATTGACGACGAGAAGAAGAACGCGATCGGTAATTCGTCGTCGCCTTGTCAACCGAATCGACAGCCGCGACCGGCGTCTGGAGTCTGAAAGTGTCGAATATGTTTTCGAAAAAGACCGTTTGGCGGACAGCGGTTTTCCGTAGCGAGAGCAAAAAGCCGACGGTTTACCGAATCGAACGGTCCGACCTTCGAACCGCGTACGCGCCCGTCAACGGCGCGCCGAAAACGTTCGGCCGGCTACCGCGTCAAACGAGAACAATCGCCCTGTGCGCGCGCAACACGCGGTATTCGTACACGCCGCGGTCGCCGAGGAATTCGGAAACGCCGGCGCGCGACGACGCGACGCGGTCGGCCGGACGCCCGGGGGGGGGAGTGGGGCCGGGGGAACGGGCGGCGTACGGAGGGGGGTTTCGGACGGCCGAAAATCCCGCGCCGGACCGACATCACTCCCGTGTTGTTCACTGCGCCGCGCGTACAAGAACGTCGCGGCCGATCGCCGGCCCGCCATCGGATATATGCCGAACGCGTACGCCGGCCGTCGTCGCGTATCGTCGCGTGCTTCTCAATTCGCCCGTAAATATTGGCCGCGTATCCGCGCGTCGTGCGACGCGACGGGCGCGGGTTTCCGCGCCGTTACACCGACCCCGGCCGCGACTGCGATTTCGCCGCCGGCGGCGGCGGCGGCGGCCAGTGTAATTTTGTTTTCGTCTGTCTACCGGCGACTTTTCGGGAACACCGCCGATCAAAGACTTAACGGACTCGGACAGTTGGTGGCGTTCACCGACCCTCCCCCCCCCCATCATCCTCCCGAAAATAAAAATCCATAAAAAAAAAAAAAACCTCAATCGTGAAACAATAACATCGAAACGCTGGCGTTATGTCTTGTGAGCATAACGCGCTTTTTATGGCCGTCCTGTCCGGCGTTTCGCTTTTTTTTCAGGGTGGAAATGGAATTTCAGGAACGGAAGAAAGAACTGGAAACATATTATGCAGTTAACATCACTGAAATCGTAAAACGCTACAGGACCGCGGTCCGTGTGGCCATAAAGGAGAGCGTTTGTCTCCTCAGTCCCTCCGCCCTCGACCGAGCCACCGGAGGCTTGAAGATTTTTCGAGTTTTTTTTTTTTTTATCGCTGTTTTCGGTATTTGGTATTTCAGAGCTAACGCGGACACAGACATTTTAAATAAATCGATTTCACGTCGTCTCCGTCGATAGAAATCAATATAGTTTTTTTCACGCGGTTTTTTTTATGAGATTTTCAAATCATTTTTACCCGACCCCCGCGGGATGAAAAATGCCAATTTTCAAAACGTCGTTCAACGTCAAATCACTCGACTGAAACTATACGAATATACTTTTAAGTCGATCAACGCGGTTACGCGCTTTTTTTTTTTTTTTTTACCAGCGACTTGTTATTATAAGTTTTTCGATTAGCTCTTTTTTTTTTCTTTTCTATATTATACAAACTAAGGTACCGGCTTCCGCCCCATTCCGCGAAAAAAATATTTGTAATTAAAGAAAACGCCTCGGGCCGCACGGTCGCCCCGGAATTACGCCGAAACTACAGCAGTACCAACAATACGCATGTACGCGCGCGAATAAATTAAACGTTTAAAATTCTATAATATTCGGCAGTTATGTCAAAGCGAACTCATCAGTTCTAAACCGGCCTTTGTAGGGAACCGATTCGCCATTCGCGCGTTTCGAAAAGTCAACTCAATAGTCGACTGTACGATACAGCGGCAGACCCGGACATTTTTTCAAGGGGCAGAGGGGGTGGGGACACGTTATTTACATTTTCAGTATATTGACAATGAATTGTATGGTAAATTGACGCGAAATCTGCGGTAGCGTAATCCATTTTTCAGAGTGGGGAGGGTGACGCGTGTCCCTGTGCCCTCCTCCAGTGGACGCGCCACTGATGTAATACGTATGGTCAACTGAGGGTAACCGGGTCGTTTTGATTTCGCTAATGGTGACGGTGGTTAATATAAAATTAAAAGTGTTCGATTCTACAGATTCCATTGGGGTTACCCGACGGCGTGCGATAAAGGCGTTTGCCGAGTTGAAACCGCCGGTCCATACGAACGCACTGACGCGTCGCACTCCGCGCCGATTGATATTTCTCTACGCGCGTAACGTCGAAACGCGCGCTGGGGGAATTCTGAATTCTCTCACGCCGTTGTTACACAAGCGCTAGCGGTCCAGAACCATTCGATTTCCGTTTTCCGACGATCTTATTGACGTGGACGCGACCGCACAGTTTCTATAATGTAACAATATTTTAATCGTTGGTCTGTTTTCAAGTAAATTTGTCGTTCCCGTTTCTCGCGGATCTCTCCTACCCTTCCTCCCTGGAATTTTTAACGAAACTGTTTAAACGAAAACCGTTAATTTGATTGGAAACAATAATTATCGTCATTTATTATCAACGTTAACCACGCGGATACTATAATCGATTGATAGCAATAGTATTGCTATACTGCTCGACACTCGCTCTACTTTACTCCGGATATTCAAACACGGCCCGGGACATGAATGTGATTTTAATTTCAATGATAAACGGGTATACGAAATAGGTAAACATGATAAATAATTTTTTTTCAAATCAAATGCAAAATATTACCGCCAAATAAAATATTGACAATTTCCCCGGGGGTATTGAACAACCGCAAACTAAAACCATTAAACTAATATTTCTCTATTCAAAGACCGTTTTTATGTCATATCGAGTCATAAACAAAGCTGTGAAAAGGGAAGGGAGGTCAATGGGAGCATTTGCCTCGGGACGCCGAACCTTTTTAAAACTACGAGGCGCCCGGCTCAGTATAAAACTCGTAATAAAATTAACGGTATCATTATTATTATGTCACTTATTGTATTATGTTTTATTTTCAAACGCTTTGATTTAATAATATTGTTGAATATCGGTTGTTAACTAATAAAAGTACAGCCTAGTAACGAAATGTGTGTATCTACCTAGAAAAATATTTAGAGTAAGAAAGCATCTTAATTAATTAAAATTTTAATACCTGTGGGTTTAATAAAATAACAAAAAAAACACACACATTTGGAAGAATCAACCCCTCTAAATCATCCCCGGGTAAGTCCTTAAGTTCTTAAGAAGGGACGTGTAAAAATTGATTGCCCTGGGCGCCAAATGGCTTAACACGGCCATGCTCATAAAATATATACAATGTACAGGTCGAGCACGTACCAAGATGATAATAATATTACAAAAAATCATTTCGTGTGTACATACATTACACCTATTTTGTATTATCCGTATGCGTATGCAAGGGCGCCAGAGGCGAGAATGTTTTAAAGGGGATAGAAGGAGGGGGGGGGGGTTTCAAAATAAATCTTCACGGCACTCTCGCGGCAAGTTAGCCCCATACAACCTCCCCCCTCCCCTTACCGACGTGTAATAACTCATCACCAGGACACGGATATTTTCTGTTAAACTGCACGTCTGCGTTTTTAAAATCGCAACGTCCTAATCACGTTCGAACGCGCGGTATGTAAAGCTCAGCGTGAAGAAATTCGCGATTTACTTTGACACAAATACTGTTTCGAATATCGTTCGCCTGGTACAATAATGAAATACGAATTAAACGTTTATAATATCGCAATAGTTTGGAAAATTCGCATTTGAACTTCGAATCTGTATAAAATAACAACATACTATACAAATACGGTTCGCGGAGGGGAGATCTATTCCCCGTATCTCCCCCCGTAATTACGCCTCTGATTGATGCGAAATTCGACAACAGTATTTACGTCGTATCGTGACGTACTTTATTGCGTAGTGCGTGTGAGATCGCGTGCGTTTGAATCGAGCGATGAAAGGTGAAACGATCGGATTGGAAAACGATAGAGCACATGGGACGGGTATTTTATCCGACGGTAATACATTTGGAACGCTGCACGGTTTTCGCGGCGTAAAAACAAACGGTTTGTGCGGAGAATTTCGAGCTTACACGGCACATATTATAATATTCAAAATATTACGCGCGATCGATGAATAGTCGGTCGTCCTTCATATAAAAAAAAAAAAAAAAAAAAAAAAAAAAACAATCGTCTATACCCAAGTGCGTATGGGTACGTGCGGGTATTTTTAAAATATTATTATTCAATCGCGAACGGCCGAGGAAAAATATGATAGGTACGCGATGAATCATTCAACATAATAACCGTCGAATAAATCCAACCTGCGATTACCTGCGATTGGCTATAAACAGTGGCGTGCGCGGGAGGATGGCGGAGGTTAGGGGTTATATCCCCAACCCTCATTATCGGCTTAAAATACAAGAAAAATACGAGTAATCTAAATGTCGAAATGCATATATTTCGGCCAAGTCGCGAGTATGAACTTGACGTACTGATCGGAAACTGTCATTTTTTAGGATCCGGTTTTTAAATTACCGATTCCCGCAGTCGATTTGTGTAGAGAAGACGAATTCGTGATTTATTCATGGTTCTCGCTTGCTACATCCCTCCCCCCCCTCCCTTCGCAATTGATTATTCCCGGGCACGCCACTGGTTAAAAACTTCACTTGCATTTGTTATGTTTTAAACACCGACGATTTACACAATTTACAGTTTACATACAATAATAATATAATATACCATTGCGTAACCGTAAATCGTTTTTTGTCGAATTTTCTCCGAAAATATAGACATATATTGCAGTATATTGCATACTGCATATTGTTCGCCATGATATATCTGTGGCTCGGTGCAATAAGGTCCGTCAAAAAAAAAAAATTTAAAAAAATGTTTCACAATAATATTACGGTTTTCGAGGGCTCGACGTTAGAAAAATCGCACTTTTGGAAACAAAATGATTTTTTTCAATTTTCAATAAATTTTTTGAATATTTTCAGATTCCGAACGGAACGTATAATGGGACGTATTGGTCTTACAGTGATGTGTTTTTTTTTTCCTGCGAAAACTTTTCCACCAGAACTCCGTGAACTCAAACTCGGGAATCGCGTGTTTTTTTGCAAGCGGGTTGAAGTGATAAAAGTTTGGTTGAATTTCACTATGAACTTAACCGTATATTGTTGCCGGTAGGGCGATTTTTTAGATTTTCACACTCTACAAACATTTCAAATGAAACCAGGAGGATACGACATTCGTTTGTAAAATAAAACCGATATATTATACTTATCGTCGTTTACTGTTGGTTGTTATTATTATTTTTTTTTTTAAATTTTATTTCGGTAAAAATATCGGGAATCTAAAAAAATGAAATCAAATGCGGTCGATCTTAAAGCACAACGTGAACAATATGAAGCATATTTATGAATATAACAAAAAAAAAAAACAATATACGTTTTTCGTAAAATAAACAAACCTTGATATAGTACGATTATAATAACTTGTTATGCACACAGAACCTAAGAAATAAATGTTCGTCTGTAAATAAAAAATTTAAACTTTCCTTTTCCAGATACGTATTATGTACAACAATAATAAAATACTGAATCATAATAATATTATTACTTTTTTTTTTTATTTTTTTTTTTTCATCAAATATCGGCGATAAACGGAGGCCATCGTTATTATTATTATTTATATTTTACTATTTTAACCATTATTGTGTACAAATAAATCATTATTATTATTATTATTTTTTTTTTAAAAAACCTATAAATCATATAATATTACTGCACTCGTGTGTATTATTCATTTTATAAATAAAAAATAATAATTCGAACATTACGGTTATTATCCTTTATTGTGGCCGCGTGTAGTTTGTAGATTACGTTGAGTAATATGAGAATAACTAGAAACAAAAAAAAAACAAAAAAAAAAAAAAAAGAAAGTAAATCATGATATTATTTGATTCATTGTCTACATTACGATGATGATAACTCATCAACGAATAAATAAAAAGCTGATTAATTAATAATAATATATGTGATACGAAACACAGCTGTAAAACGACCTTCGGGGTGCAATACCTATCTACTATTATTATTATTATTTGTATTTGTGTCGGTATAGATTACGCACGGAGATAGACGGAAAAAGTGTTTTTTTTTTTTAGAATAACATTATTGTTCGTCAAATAAATTGTATGTAATTATTTTAGGTAGGTATCATTACGGCAGACAATAGCCGATCGTAAATAAATTATGACGATTCACATTCGTCCGCAATGTAACAACGGCCGGGGATAAAGGAAGTATACGGCCGAGTTCGACTCGGCCGGAAAAACAGTCCGCTTTAGTGGCGCCTCCCGATGGCGAAAAAAACTATAACGAAATCGTTAATGCGGATAAATGTGTTTGTTATTCCTCTACACGTGTTTCGGTCCTTTCGATTTTTCCCGTGTGAAATGAAAACTACTAAAGAAATCGATAACGACCCACCCAAGTACACCAATTACGTCGAAAACGCTATGGAGATAAAAAAAAAAAAAAATCTGTCTTGTCGTTAT